TTCATTAAAAGAATATGTGTATCACTTGAAAGTCGACACTTTGCCGATTAGGCCTCTCATACCACACACACGCTCACGCGCGCGCCTTGCACACACACACACACACACACCACACACACAACACACACGACACACACACACACAACAAACACACACACCAGAACACACATACAACACACACAACACACACACACACACCCATCACACACACACACATATCAAAACACAGAACAACAGCAACAGACAAGACACATAGGCACACACAAACAAACACCAAACACACAGCCAGACACACACCCACACACACACACACACAGCACACACACAGCACACACAACACACAACAATGATGGCACACACATACAAACAAACACACACACAACACACACATCACACAAACAAACAAGCACACAGACAGACACACAACATCATAACAACACAAACAACCACACAAGACAACAGCAACACCAACACACACACACACACACACACCACACCACACAGCTGCACACACCCACAACCACACACATCCACACACACAGACACACCACGCCACACATGCGACACCCATCAACCACAGCAACATCATCACCCACACACACCAACAACGACACACACACAGACACACACACACACATCATCACACATTTCCACCAACACACACACACTTCCGCACACACAGCGGCTATCAGCACACATATATATATTATATATATAAAAATAAATATAATATATATAACCTACGAGAGAGAGAAGCAGAGCAGAGACGAGAGAGACGAGAGAAGAGAAAAGAGAGAGAGAGAGGGGGATATCAACGCGATCCAAGCATAACGGATAACAGTTAAAATAATATATCCAAACAGAATATAAAAACCTTACGTACGATCCCTGTATTCTGCGAGAGTAAATGACGCCATTGCCAGGTACGGCGTCGAATCCTGTTCAGACATAACTCAATATCCGATGTTTCGCGTGCAGGATAACTACAAGGGTGTCTACGATCCGGATGCCGGAACACTGATGGCCGACAAGTGTCTACGCTGTTTACAGGTACGCAGACGCGCCTCATTGACGTCACCACGATGACGTCACCCCAGGCACTATAGCGTCAGTCAGGAGTATAGCATATGCAACGTTTGTGAAATGAAAAATAACGTTCTTTTCTGGGAGTGAAGAGCCTATTTTTCAATAGGATGTGTGTATTCTTATATACGCCTAGCGCGGTTGCCACTTCGCCCTAGTCAATCACTGTCGTGATGGAGCATTCTAAAGGCAATGCTCGGAAACTAAGTGTCAGAAAGCCGACAATTTGGCATGTACGTGTGAACAAGACGTAGCTTAGTGATTGACTGGACTAACCTCACAGAACGAGCAACAACATGCGGTTATTTAGCTCAGGCGGATTGGTACAAATGAATGATGATGATGTCGGCATGAATCACTCCCCTTCCTTTTCCCTCTCCTCTCTTCCCTTAGCCCACTCTTCTCTTCTCTCCCACACTCTCACCCCTCTTTCCCGCTCTCTCTCTCTCGCGCTCTCTCCTCTCTCTCTCTCACGTTCACGCTCATGTCTTCTCGCCGCTCTCCCGCTCTCCTCGTGCGCGCTCTCATCCTCTCCTCTCTCTCTGTCTTCTGCGCTCTTTCTCTCTCTCTCTCTCTCTACTCCCCTCTCTCTCTCCCTCTCACTCTCTTTCAATCTCTCTCTCTCTCTCTCTCTCTCTCTCTCTAATATATATATATATATCATACTATAATAATATATATGTAATTATAGGATCTCTTCGTGAAGCATGGTGGAACGATCAAAGATGGAGTCAAAGTGTTAACCCTGCATCCGCAGTCAGTCGATCACGTGGTCGTAAGAGAGCCGGACAAGTCGTTTTACACGGCGAAGAACGTCGTACTTTAGTGTCGGAACCGTGGGCGACCCAAAGCCCTTGTCGGACTGCCACCGCATCCGGGCGACGTGGCCACTTACAGGTAATACACGAACACACACCACAAGACACACACACACCACACACACACCACACACACACACACACACACAACACACCCACACACACACACACATACACCACACAGCATAACAACACAGCACACCACACACAAAACACACACACATCCACAACGACACAGCAACGTACGCACGCACACACGCCCCCACGCACACACACCACAGCGGACACGCACAAGCACAGCCCACACAGTGACACACGCACACAACACACGCACACACAGCACACGCCACACGACACATGCACACACACACAACACACACACACACACACGCAGCACGCAGCCGAACACAGCACACGCACAACACACCCACACGACACGCACACACACACCCAACACACACACACAACACACAACCCACGCGACCCCCACCACTCCACCACCACACACCACACACACAAACCACCACACACACACACACCCAGCACGCTTACGCACGACACAGCACGGCGACGCACGACACCGCACACACGCCCCCACGCAACACACAACACACACACACAACGGACACACACAAGCACACGTAACAACACATTGACACACGCACACACACACACACACACAGCAGCGCACACGCCCCCCCCCACAACAACATCACGCACGTACACACGCCCTCACACGCACAACACACACATACCAACACACACAACCACACGACAAGCACACACACAAGTACACCCACAGCAAAACCGCACACACACACCCACGACCACACAGCCACGCACACAGCACACACACACACACGCACACCACACCGCGTCAGCACACGCACACTGCCACACGCACAACGCACCAACGCACACGCACGAACGCACACACACGGCACGCACGAAGCACGCACGCACACTGGTCGTCCACGCACACACACCGCCCCCTTCCCCACACACACACGCACGCACCCACACACGCCCCCTCCACACACAACACACGCACACACACACACACACACACACACACTTTAATATGTCATCCAAATATACTGTCACGCCTGATGAACATTACGTTATGTGACAGTCCGTTACGTTACATTCCATTACTTGCGTTATATAATATTGTCATACTCGTATTTTCGTTATTTGCATCGTATATAGGCATGCAAACCGAATCCGGTAATGCACGGTGAGGCAGGTACAGAAGCGGGACGGGATTTCATTACACTATATCATCTATAACGAACAAATGTCCACGCGAGACTGCATCAAAATTTTCTAATTGTGAATGTAATCGCATTAGGGGCTAGTTTGCGGAATTAACACTGTAATCGCATTACATTTTACCTTCACCGCCGTTACATAGATACATACATACATACATACATACATACCATCTACATGACATACATAACATACATACATAACATACCATACAATACATACATACATACATCCAATACATTTACATACATACATTCATACTAACATACACTACTACATACATACCTACTACATACATACAATACATACATACATATCATACAGTACATATCATACATACATACATACATCTACATACAGACATACAATACAACATACATACATACATACTACATACATACAATAATACATACATACATACATACATACAATCATCATAACATACATACCATACATACATACATACATACATACATACAATAACAATACATACATACATACATAACTCATACATGCATACATTACATACCATACATACATACATAATCATACATACATACAATACATAACATACATAGCATACATACATACATTACATCACATCATACACATACAGTGACATAACATACATACATCAAACATACATACAGTACATACAACATCACATACAATACATACACTACTATACATACATACAACATACATACTACATACATACATACATACATACATACAATAACATACATACATACATACATACATAACATAATACTAGCATAATCATAACATACATACATACATACATACATACCATACAACATACAGTACAAACATACATACATTACATAATAAAATCACATACATAACATACATACATACCATACGATACCATACATACATACATACATACATACATACATACATACATACACCTACAACATATCATACATACCATACATACATACATAACATACATACATCACAGACATACGATACATACAGTACACATACTATACAATACCTACATACACTACATACATACTACATACATACATACATCATACATAATACATACATACATACATACATACATTACATACATACATACATTACATACATACATAACATACATACATACATACATGAACATAATACATACATACATAACATACATACATACATACTACATACATCATAATACATACATACACATACATACATACCATACATACATACATACATACAACATACAATACATACATACATACATACATACATACATACGATACATACATACATACATAACATACATACATACATACATACATCCATACATACATACATACATTACAGTAACATACATAATACATTACATACATTTACATACATACGGGATACATACATACATACATAATACATACATACTACATACATACATACATACATACATACATAACATACATTACATACATACATACATACAAATAGCGATACATACATACATACATACGATACATACAATACATACATACATACATATCATACATACATACATACATAATACCATTACCATACATTACATACATACATACATACATTACATACATACATACATACAATCTACATACATACATACATAACATACATACATACATACATACATACATACATACTAATACATACATACTAATACATACATACATACGATACATACATACATACATACATACATACATACATACAAGTCATCACATACATACATACATACATAACCATACGAGTACATAACCATACAATACATACATACATACAGGTAGGAGTAGCCGAGCGGTGGAGATACATATCATACATATCATACATACATACACTAATACATACCATACATACCATACATCACATAACATAATACATACATACATACTACATACTAATACATACATACATACATACATACCTACAGCTACATACATACATAACATACATACATACATACATCATACATACATACATACATAGCATACATCGATTACATACATAAATACATACATAGCACTCATACATACATACAATACATACATACATAACATACATACATACATACATAATACATAACATACATACAGTGAGCATAAATTAATACATACATACATACATCACATACATGACATATACATAACATACATACATAACATACATACACGACATACATACATACATACATACATACATACATACATACATACATATCATACATACATACAATACATAAATACATACATACATATCATACATACATACATACATACATACATACATACATACATACATTAACAATACATTACATAACATAGCATACATACATACATACTTACGGTAACGACGGTAACGTACGTACGTACGTACGTACGTAAGTGTTGTGTGTGCGGCGTGGCGTGCGTGCGCTGCGTGCATGCGTCCGCGCATGCGTGTGTGTAATGTGCGTGTATTTTGTGTGTGATGTGTGGTGTGTGTGGTGTGTGTGTGTGCTGTGTGGTGTTGTGTGTGTGTGTGTGTGTGACTTTATCGGCAGCAGCTTTTGAGACGAACATTTAGAATCGCGCGTTGTGAGCCATAATAGTTTCCCGTCTGCTACTCATCGTTAAATAGATGACTAAGACGCCGAACCACTGCTGCGGACGCGATGTAAATACCACGGGTTTACTTTCTTTCGTTCATTCTTTCTTTCTTCTCGCCATGCTCTCCGTCCGCGTGCGTGCGTACGTGTGCAGACGGTGCGAGTGAACGTGTGCCCTACTGGCGGGAGAAGCGTCCAGGAGACCTACCACTTCAGCCGGTGTCCTGTGATGTGCGACTTCCAACGATCTCATCCGGTAACTACTTGTTGGTTATCTACCAAGCGGACGAGTATCCACGGTCACGTTCAGAAGTATGGTCGCGCTTATAGTATATGAGGAGTCACAAGTCAAAGCGGGTGATATTCATAGTGGTGGTAGTATTAGCGTTGGCGTTAGCTTTGGCGTTGGCGTTGGCGTTGGCGTTGGCGTTGGCGTTGGCGTTGGCGTTGGCGTTGGCGTTAGCATTAGAATTAGCATTAGCATTAGCATTAGCATTAGCTTTTCATAATTTTTTATTATTATAGTTATATTATCATTATTATTAATATTAATTAATATTAATAATAATATTAATAATAATGATTATTATTAATACTAATAATAATATTAATAATAATGATTATTATTATTGTATTGTTTATTATTTTAGCTTGGCAGGCACATCGGTAACGTCGTTGACCCGGATAATCGTGACGAGGCAGCTCAGCATATCATACCGGCTCAGTTGGCCGTGCTAACCGATTATGTTAGCAAATACATACCGGGCCTGGACGCAGCCGACGGGCCCGCCATATTGGAAACGTGCATGTACACGGTGAGTGCGCATGCGGGCGATGACGTCACAACGTGGCCGTAGCACTGCCGCGCGATCAACGCGTTTACAATCAAAGCGTGTGATACAATGTTGTACCGTGGTCTGTCGCTAACTGTGCACTTAGGATATTCGATGGAAGTTTAGAGTAGCAGAATTATTTATGGGCTGTAAGAGTATAAACACAGGGCTGTAGCCGAAGGAAATTACCAGGTGGGCGTTCACATAATTTTGTGAATTAATTGAGTAATGGCGAGGGATTTTTTTCGTGTCCGTTTCGAGCACGCACGCGAAAGGATTATAGAGTGAGGAAGGCGAGAAGTTCGTTCTATTAATTTCATTGCGTTTATTTTTAGTGTATTTATGTCTATATTAGGTTAATCATTCTATTTTGCTCTACAATCTGAGTCCCCCTCCCACCTCCAGAGGCTGCCGCCATGCACCACGCATCACACGCCTTTCATACACACGCAGTCGTATAAATACATACTGCCGTTCGAAGTTCCCATCTTGTTTGTGCGCTCGCGTTAATTGGCGTGCTTGACCGTTTGATATATTGAAGCCCTTATGGCTACTAAAGCCTTTATTCTACCTATACATATAGTCTACTGAAAGCCTCATTACACCGAAGCCTTTATGTTAATGATACATTTAGTCTACTGAAGTCCTCATGTCACTGAAGCCTTTATTCTACTGATACCTTTAACCTACTGAAGTCCTCATGACACTGAAGCCTTTATTCTACTGATACCTTTAGCCTACTGAAGTCATTAAAATACTTAAGACTTTATTTTACGGATGCCGTTAGACTACTGAATCTTTACCCTACTGATACTTTTAGTATACTGAAGCCCTTATTATACTGAACTACCGCCGTAACTACGCCGGTCGGCGCCGGTCGGTAATAGCCGGCTCTGGTGTTGGCCGACCGGCACGCATCTTTAAATAACATCCTTCCGACCGGCACAAAAATGATTGTGTTTGTGTAAAATTACCTTCAAAATAGTGAGCAATCTACAAATAATCACAACTGATACACTTATAATTAATTTAAAGAACAACTCTGAGTTTAATCTCAACAATAATTATGTGTAAAATCATAATTTGATCACATCGTACAGCACACAGTACACGCAGTATAGCTGGCTAAGCACCATGTTGCTATATAATTATTTATGCATATTAACCTGCTTACTGTGCACGCCTGCTAGTGCACGCTTTTCGGCCCAGCTGAATGCATTCGCATAAAAGAGCGTGTAGCAAGCGCGTTCTCGAAATGCAGTCACATTTCCATATCGCCACTCGTAGAAATATTGTCAGAAATGACAGAAAAAAGCCCGCCGGAAAAAAAGCGCGTATATACGCGCGCGCGTGTGCGCATGTGTGGAAACATAATTAAATGGTGCGTAACTTCATGACAATCTCTATCTATCAATTTCATTTCATTTCTCTCTCTCTCTCTCTCTCTCTCTCTCTCTCTCTATATATATACATATGTATATATATAACACATACATCTTTATGTATATATATATATATATATATATATATTGCGTTGTCTATATGTCCGCAGGTGACGCCAGATGAGGTCTGCATCATAGACAGACACCCGCAGCACCCTAATGTGATTTTCGCCGCTGGATTCTCCGGTATATACCCGTGCACATTAGGCACACGTGTACTCGCTCGCTCGCTCGTAATTTAATTTCACAGAAGCAAGAAATCGCCATCAGAGAAAATGTCACGTCGTTTCTAATAGGCCGCCGACAGGTGGTGCTGGCGGCGGCGAACGAGCGATGACGCCACGCTATCGCTTCGGCTGACCACCTGTCGCGGTCCGTGAAGCACGTAACCTGACGTCATTTTCGCTGTGGTCGTTGTTAGAATCACTGTAGCCACTACGACAGCACTATAACACAAAACATACTAGTATACAAAAACGATAACATAACGATTAAAATGTTTCTGACAACGACCTCTTTGTTATTATCATGGTCATTATTTTGGGCAGTCATAAGCAGTCGGTATTCTAAAGCCGTTACATCTAAGTAAACTCTATATAAACGCGGTGATTGATTCCACCGATGGCTTTATTCGCCTTCTTCGTCCGTTTTTGAGCAGCGCACAAGCTCGTTCATACTCGCCTATCGATAATTAATCGATACGGGATTAACCGCAGTTTAACGTTATCATCGATTCGGCGAGACGACTGATCATGCTCACCTATTCTTGACGCGATTAAGTCGGAGATTCAGTCTAAACTGAATGTCTATTTGTGCAGGTACTGGGTTTAAGCTGGCTCCGGTACTAGGAAAAGTGCTGGCGGAGATGGTGTTGGGATGCAAGACCTCCTACGATACGACTCCATTCAGCATGCGGAGATTCCAGGCGAAGTCACGGCTATAAACAACGCGCTCGACCAGAATGTGATATACTGATTACTGATTAATGATAAATCAGTGGTGATCGTCTTAACAATCATGTTATTTTAATTTTAATTAGTAAGATCTATTACTAATCCCTATTTAGAAGTAACTGTAGTAAAGGTGTGCTGTTAAAGTTGAGGATTTTTCAGCGGGATGCTATTTTTCGAGTATACACTAATGCGGCATTCACACAGTGCCGATTATGGCTCCCGTTTGAGATCAAACAGCGCTACGACACGAAAAGTGAAAAAGTCGGATTATTATCCTCAATGATCTGGAATGTCCTATCAGTGTCTGAACGCAGTCGTATACGTTCGTAACAAAGTCCTACGGATCGGGAATGATCCGGAGAGGTCGGCCCAGCACTCCCGGCAGTTAGGTGCGTCCCGTAACATTCGGGAAACTCGGCCGATTTTGTCTAGTCGGATTACAATCGTGACTATGTCGTGACAGATTCTGCTCTATCGGATCAAAATCGTAACAATGTTCTGTGTTGTCTGGACGGTGTCTGAACGGTGTCTGGACGGTGTCCTGTGGATCAGGAGGCTGTCGTGATGAACGGGCATGATCTGGAGAAATTTTTCATTGCCGTTTCTTGTCGATTAAGTCCAGATTACGTCCAGATCTAACGGATGTCTTCCATCAGCGTCGGTTCACTGTCGGGTCACTGTCTGATCTCTGTGGGATCGCATTCGGGAGAATCGGGACGCTGTCGGGACAGATTTGGTCGTTTTTTACCATGCGAAAGATACAAATCGGATCAGAATCGGATTCAGAACTGGAGAATCGGGACGAATTCGGCTGGAAACGGCTGAATCGGGACGCTTCCTGAACAATATCTGATTGTTGTCGTGATTAAATAAATTTTTATTAAAGTTTGAATTTCCCGCCACGAATCACAGGATCTTGATCAGACTTTTGACAAATTTTAATCGGGAATAGTCCTATCAAGGACGGCAGTAAAAATCCTGAATGTGTGATTGAACCTTAAAGGCTCAGTCACACATTCAGGATTCAAAAATTAGGGATGTAATCACGCGCCGACATAACGCCTGTAGCTGTGTAGATAGATGTACGGCTAAGTAGGGATGTACGCTAAGTATATGTATACGCCGGATGCGCGGCGGCAGCATGTTTATTATGTAAAATGTCCCCTGATGGCGATAGGAATTACAGACACCGTTCGCACGTCTACGATTAACAATAAAAGGTACACGCCGGGATTCCATAGTAGATGAAATGTTAATGGCTCGCGTGTAGAGCGTTCAATTATTTAGAAGCGCGTATTTTTTGCCATTCACGTTTTGCACGCGTCGACCGAATCATCGGTAAACAACAAGCTCACGTGCCTAGATCAGCTACGAAGCATGTAGAAGGCCGCCCAGTACGATACACGTCCACTACTATACACGCCTGCTACGATACACGTCTGCTACGATACACATCCGCTACGATACACGTCCGCTACGATACACGTCTGCTACGATACACGGCTGCTACAATACACGCCTGCTACGATACACGTCCGCTACGATACACGTCCGCTACGATACACGTCTGCTACGATACACGTCCACTACTATACACGCCCGCTGCGATGTATGTCTGCTACGATACACACCTGCTACTATACACGCCCGCTATACGATACACGTCCGCT